GATAAACTTTCTTTTTCTACATGCCTTTTTCTTTCTGCAAAGACAATAGCACAAGCACATTTTGATCTTATAAATATTGCATGGGCAAGTAAGAGTAACAAAAATAAATGCCAGTGGTTACTTAAGTCTAAATTGCATTCAGGCATTTTTAAAACACATTCCTTTATATACTAAGCTATGGACCTAATCAGTCTTTCAACCTTGCTCTTCTAGAGCAATTCAGTTCTCTAAGTTCTACTTTCAAGGCAAGCAGCTGTGTTGATCTTACCTAACCACCTTTTTCCTCCATTTAACCAGTCCCACCTCACTCCATGTGGTGAAGTTAGAGACAACCTTTTAATATATCACATCTACACTCGTCTTGTGCCTAGACACAAGAAGTTCCAACTCATTCGTGAGGTCAAATGAAAAAACACAGGATTATTTTTAAAAGAGCAGCTTGCTACAATCCATAAAAACCTGCTACAATAATTCTTTTGTAGTCTATTTTCACTCAAAGGCTTTGAGTAAACCAACATCATAAATAATAGACATTTTACTCAGCTAATGTCAGATGGGTCACTAGTAAGAAGTATGCACGAGTCACCCCAGCAAAAACATCAGAACAAGACAATTGTTTCCAATGCAGTACTTGTACTGAATAATACTTAATATTTAGATCAGGACAGAAACTGACAGGCATTCAAAATCTAACCTGGCACAAGGACAGACTGATGTTGTCAAACATCTGTTACTTCAATTCAACTACTATTTCCAGTTGCAAAACCTCCAAAGATGACTAAGTGAATCAGCAGTGATTTGTTTTGGCTAAACAACTCCATGCTTTTATTACAGTCTATTCAACCCGTCCACTGAGAATAAACAAGAATAAATGACTCAAATAAGGATTCAATATATTTTTCAGTAAGCTGAGAACTGAGATAAACCAAAAGTCAATCCTTGAAAGTACTGTGAAAGGTCTAGTTTTGTCCTCCTCTACAGGAGTGCAAACCAAAAATAACTCCATAGGTCAACACCATAATACAACTTTTCACTTTCTTTTGAGATGAGACTTCACCCTTATGAACTATTACAAGGGGGTGAATACTAACATCTTATTAAATCTCAAGCATATAAGGAGCCTCCTTATATTTCAGTGTTCCAGTCTTTCAACAATCCTATTACTTATTGAATGAAAAAAAGGCAGTAGAGATAGAATACTTCTGAGAAATATATTATCCTTGATACATGCTAATGCCATGGCTGTCACTGAGATGAAAATGCAGTTAAAAGGCTCATTTACTTTAAACATACGCTTGAAAAAAATTAATGCTTGAAAACTCTGACACTGAAAAAGCTCCCTTTGAAATCTGAAGAGCATGGGTAAAGATTACATACTTCAGACCACTGTATATTCTGTATAATTTCTACCATTATATTCAGGTTTAAAACAGTGCTTGTTTTGGCTTGCTATTCCTGCTTTAAAAGTTGTTTTTTTGCAAAGGTACTATTGGATCATGTGCAAGATTCTCCCTGTACAGCTCAGTGTCTTTATTTGACAACCATCACACAGGACTGCACAATGTGCAGTCCAGTAAAATGTGTGTTGGACACTTCATTTCCTTCAAACACATATAAAGTGAGATTTAGTGTATGGATGCCAAAAATGAAAAGCTGGTTTTCCAAATCAGTATCTTCAAAATAAATAATAATTTTCTTTGTCGGAGAAGCTTTTCACAAGTCTGTAATTACAAACACGAAAAACGCCCATTCTTCAGGAAGTTCTCTTTTCTTTACAAAACATTCCATTATATATTGACCCTGAAATTAGCTCAGTTGGTTGGAGCATGGGGTTAATAACACCAAGATGGTGGATTCAGTCCCTGTACGGGCCATTCACTTAAGAGGTGCACCTGATCCTTGTGAGTCCCTTCCAACTCAGAATATTCTGTGACATTTCTGTGAAATATTGTTTACATCAATTCAGTCTGTTTCTGTTAGGGTTTAAATCAGAAACTTTAGATTAGCACTTACCCATTTTTACTAAACACCCGTATCCATGCTTGTATGTTTGGTCCCAGAATACATAAGCACTGTAAAGTAGTAAAGGTAGACAGGAGAACTGCGAACAAAAACGTCTCAGTAACTGACCTACAAAGAAAGAATATGACAAAATTAGGTGAGGTAGGTTATTATTTTTCTAAGAGTTCCAAGATTTAGGAACAAAAACCCCAAAACCTCTAAGTCAACTTGTGAAAGCACAAGTGCCTTCTTAATCTTATGTAGAAGAATAAAATATTTTCTTCTTACTTTGTAGAATAGTAAAGAAAACTGGAGAGAGTTCTGCTGTTATTTCAAGAGTGAAATGCAGTAATTACTTTAAATGCCCAATACCTGTAACATTTTTAAAACACCACAGGTGTACGTCATATACAGCATTAGTTCTAAATTGAAGTATACTTGGACATTTATTTAATTATTCTGTTTATTTTTCTAGTTTGGTGTTGCGAAAGTAGCCATGAATTGAAACTACATGATGCTATTATTAGTCAGTAACTTAGTGTATCTCTCAAAAAATCAGCTTGCCTCACACTTCTACTTTGTTTTTATAAAACTTTCCTAAAAGTTAAAACACTAATATCAAAAGGATGAAAGACACGCAAGATGCATGATTTAGAATCTTTTGGGGAAAATGACCAAAGGAAACTCTGAAAAATGTATGTGCCTGTATATTTAATGTAAATATTAAAGTAAAAGAAGTTGTTTGTAACTGTCTTAAACAGGACTTCTCCAAACAAAAATTATAAGAGCTAGCTTCTAAGAAAACAAATAAGCAACAAAAACCCCAACAGCAAAACTAAACTAAACCAACCAACCAAAACCCAAGCAGCCACCCTTCTTCCCCCAGCCAGGAGCTTATCCTTTAACTTCCAGCGTACCAGAAGACATACAAGTACTTATACCAATATCTGCAAGGAGAACTGCCCCTTAGAATGTTTAGAGAAAGAGAGGGTCTTCTGACTTACTCTATGAGAGGTGCTCCATAAAGAACAATAATCGCATGAAACAGTATGCAAGACATGAAAAAGTATATACAGCATTTTAGAAATCTGGATATCTAAAAAAGAGCAATAAAATATCAGAATAACGTTTCAAAGAAGAACATAAGTAACATACACAGTCTACATCTTAGCAAGAGCACAGTACTCTAATTGCTTCTTTAATTTCAGCTACAACACAGTATAATAGCGTGGCATATTTTAAAACAGTTTTCCGTATGTTTAAATAATTAAAAATGATCACACTCCATTTAATACTTATTTTATGCACCCCTTTAGAATAAGGCAAAAATACAAAAACTATAACCAGAAATGACAGGATAAACAGAAGTAATTTTATTGGATATTTTTACATTTGTTTTACATGTGACTGTCATGTCCATTCATTAAAAGGCAACTCCCACAGAAAGTGAAATAATATTTAAAAGCAAGAAAAGATGCGATATAAAAAAATATGCAACATTATGGATCAAAATGACATTAAATAAAAACCACTACATTTTAAACTTGGCATCTTAAATTTTAAATACATTTGGGAAATATCCAGACTTTCTATAAGCCTGCAAAACACATAACTTTCTGTGAACTTAAACAACAGTTTCTGGGTACTCACTATATCATATAGAAGTATACACACTTGATAAATAGTTCTGATTAGGTCTGTTCCGATCAGGTCACCAATGCAATTACATAATTTCCCTTTAACCTTTTTTTTTTTCCCTATATTTACTCCTTATACTAGTCTAAGATGAAACCTCATCTAGAACATGAAGCATGCTTCACTTTGATATCACAGAAGATTAAAATACGGGTTTTCCATAACAGTTTTGTGCATTTCACATCCTCCTCAGTCAGCAAAACTACACAGAAGCTTTGCATGCAAAGATACTGCTTTCTGGGATGCTCGCTTCAATGTTCAAGAATCACCACATCAGAGCACTACATCTTGTCTGACTCAGCAAGTCAGGAGTAACAAGTAAGTGTGTAAGTAATGGCCAGTCTTCGCGAACGAAGAACCGGGGAAGGTCTTTACACCTTCCAGCCTGCGCATTGGATTTTTTAGGTGAGACACAGTGTGCGCGGAACTGAGCCCACCCTTTAATCCTGAGGTTCATCTGCCGGGGCCAAGCGAGCTTGGACGGTGGCAGCGAGGTCCTCAGGACGTAGATGGATTGC